AGAACACATGCTTTAGGTCTCTGTCCTAGTGTTCAAGGTTAGCTTTGCAAGACAGCCTGAGTGATTGGAATTGATACAGGTCCTTCTCTTTTTACTTAGGTGATAGGAGTACAATTGTCATTCATCGTCACAGATGAACTCAAGATTCATGACTGTGATGTAGAGCCCAGTTTGCAGATTGCTTCTGAAAGACGTAGGATTGCACTGTACAGTAGTTAACTGGAAAATGTTTTTTTTTCTTTTTCTGGGCAATTAACACATTATTTAACAGAAAAACCTAAGAACTCAGTGTTGAAAGAGTGAAAATTAAAAAACAGTGAATAAAAAAGCTGGGCACAATACTGTCCGAAAGAGTCACACCTACACTTGCTGTAGACAGGTTCAATATCTGCTCATAAATGACAAGGCTGACAGATATTTGCCTATTCTGGTATGAATCACCGGAGCACTACATCTGGTCCGATACTAAATTACAGTGCCGCAAACATGGCACTTCAATCCTTCCACTTATAGACTACAAAACAGCTTCAGCACCTGTTAAATTATTCACAGTAATATACATAACCAGAAGAATATAAAAATGAAGCTACAAAATCCCTCTAGGATAGCTATGATAGGGTTAAAGGGTAATTTTTGTGAAAAACATGTAATATGTATGCATGCCATCCTTAGTGTATAGCACATGGACCTAATATACAGAGGATAAAATAGTCAATTACAAGTTAAAGAATGGCTTTCCTACAAGACTTGGCAGAGATATGGAGGTCAGCAAGAGGATCCAGGCAGGATCCAGGCAGGATCCAGGTGTGGGGAACCCAGTAGACCAAAACTTTTGGAAGTGTTGGTTTCCCTCTCTTCCAGCATTCCAGTTCTACAGCAATACTACCAGTTCTACTCTCCAACAGAACATTATCATCAGCTCTCCACCCCAGCAGAGTGATACCATCAGCTTGTAGGGCAGGCAGGTGTTACTCTCTCCATGTTCCCCTTACTCGTTGGGCACAAAGCGTGGGTCATAGGAGCTGCCTATCCCGAGGTGGGTTCTTCTGGGCCACACTAGGCACCTGTACCAGGATCTCTTCTTCACATATGGAGTACCTTTACTCTGTGCCATTTTCATCAATACCCTGGGACAAGGCTGAAGCCTCCGTGAGGGAATATTCAACCTTAAGGCAGGGGTCCTACTCTTAGAGATGAATGTACACCATGTACAATAACACCACAACTGTTCTGTTACCTCTTGAGCGGGCAAGCTCTGCAGAAGTGCTGCAGGATAGTGGCTCAAGTCCAGCTCCATCAGAGGAGGCCTTCCAGGTCACTGGGTGCAGGATCTTCCCCAAAGACTCGGGGTTCCATTGTCTCCGGTAGCAACTCTCTGGAGGGTGGTCTGTCCTGATAATGCAGGGTTCCTCTTTGGCCATCCACTGGAATGACGGGATACCACAGACTAGGTAGCTGGCATAGTAGGCAGTGGTGGCAAAGTGCCTCCAGCATGACGGGGGGACCAGCCTGGCAGAGGGTGAAACCTAGAGCAAGAACATACCATATCAGTCAGCACTGGGGCCTTCTTTTCAATGCAGAGCCCATAGTAGCTAGCAACACACACAAAGTTGTCTGCGTGTCTTCTGGGTGAGGTTTCTATATACATCCCCTTATCGGGATGCCTACCAATCCAGTGTGAGTGCCTTGTGCAGGATCCAATCAGGGTTCAAACATGATTAGCATGTGTTCTATCACCGGGCAAGCCTGAACAAGTTTCTAACTAGCTAGCTGTGCCATAATCTCTTTAGTGGTGGTTTTCGAGTTCATGTAGTAGGTGTAGCACCACATTGGGTGCCAAATGTAGTTGGTATGTTACTCTCTCCATGTTTCCCTTACTCATTGGGTGCCAAGTGTGGGTTATAGGAGAGGCCTACCCTGGGTTGGGTTCTTCTGGGCTATGCTAGGCACCTGCAACAGGATCTCTTCTTCACATATGGGGTACCTTTACTCTGAGCCATCTTCATCAATGCCCTGGGACAAGGCTAAGGTCACCATGGGGAAATACTCAATCTTAAAGTGGCACCCTGCTCTTAGAGATGAATGTACAACATGTACACCACAAATGTTCTCAAGTTAACTATCGGGTTCCTGTGTAAATGTATATCTTTCCACTGTGACTTGCAATTAGGGGGGGGGGGACACTGAACCTTACCCACAACCACCTGTTCAGTGTTTTCCACTACAGTTCCCGGTAGCAGAGTGGGCCCCACCATGCACCTAGCACGGGCTCCACACGTGCACTTGACATGAATCTTTAGCTTCCATACCTCTGTATAGGATGGGGACCTCTGTGGTGCGAGACTGCAGGCAGGAGGAGTGTCAACAACATCTCCCCCACATTTTATCTATAACAGGTACACGCAACCGTCAGGCTGCATTAACTGACTGTAGACCTCCTTTACCCAAGTTTACCATTTACTGTACTGCACCAGGATGACTCCTAAGTGCTGTCTCTTCATACCCCAATATGCTAGTGACCCAACAGCTGTAGAAATGTGCCAGTTATTTGCATTGCACGCCTTCAGCTCTGCCCCATAGCGGCAGCTGTGCGCAAAATCTACATACATGATTTTGTATTTCTGGGTAGGGGGCACGAGCGCCCTACCCGCGCCACGATTCGCAGCCATGCTTGTCAATCACCGAGTCCCAGCCGGTGATTGCTTGCCGGCGCCCGGTGATTTCTGAGCATCTCCAACGGTAGAGAGAACTGTTAGTAAACAAAACAGTTCTCCTCCCTGTCAGCTCCTGCACACTGCTTTGCATGGCTGTGCACAGCATAGCCATGCAAAGCAATGTGATTACAGTGAAGTACACACAGAACACCATGAACAGAACACCATGTAACACGGCACACAGCACACAGTTAACCCTTTGATCACCCCAGATGTTAACCCCTTCATGCCCAGTGCCATTAGTACAGTGACAGTACTTTTTATTAGCACTGATCACTGTATTGGTGTCGCTGGGTATGTCAGTGACAGTTAGTCAGTTCTCCCCAGTGTCAGAATGTCCGCCACAGTCCTGCTATAAGTCGCTGACCGCCACTATTACTAGTAAAAAGAAAAAAAAAAAGAAAAAAAGTCCAGTTTATATACCACCATTTGTAAATGCTATAACTTTCACGTAAACCAATTAATTTACACGTATTGGGATTTTCTTTTTTAGCAGACATTGAGCAGAATACATTTTGGCCTAAATATATGAGGAAATTAGATTTTTTAAATTTTTTTACTGGGCATGTTTAACCGTTTCAATACCGTGCAATTTTACACCTTCCTGCCCAGGCCATTTTTCAGGTTTCAGCGCTCTCACACTTTGAATGACAATTGCGCGGTCATACAACATTGTACCCAAACTAAAATTTTATCATTTTCTTCACACAACTAGAGCTTTCTTTTGGTGGTATTTAATCACCACTGGGGTTTTTATTTTTTGCTAAATTAACAAAAAAAGACCAAAAATTTTGAAAAAAAACACATTTTTCTTTGTTTCTGTTATAAAAGTTTACAAATAAATAATTGTTCTTCATAAATTTAGGCCGAGATGTATTCTGCTACATGTCTTTGGGGAAAATAACCCAAATTAGGATGTATTTTTTAGTTTTGTAGGAAAGTTATAGAGTTCACAAACTATGGTATAGATCTGAATATTGATCAATCCTGAAGTACTGACAGCCAATCTAATATCTTGAGGTCCAAGAATGTCAGAACAGTACAGATATCCCCCAAATGACCCCTTTTTGCAGAGTAGACAGTCCGACGTACTTTATAAGAGGCATGGCGAGTTTTTTGAAGTTGTATTTTTTTTGTCATAATTTTTCGGAAAATGAAAAAATTAAAAAAAGTATTTTCACTATTTTTTTTTTTACATACTGTCACCAGTGCAGTACAGCATCATCATATAACTGGCATGGCGGTGAACAGCGACACTGACTGGTGACAGTATGAAAAAAAAAATATATATATATTTTTTTTATTTTTTTTTTATTTTTTTTATTATATTTAATTTTTTATTACATTTTTTTTTATTTTTTTTAAGATTTTTTTTTCATATTTTACTATGACCAAAATAGTACAATGTTACCATAGTAACACTGTACTACTTTGGGGAAGTGATCAGTATTTTTTTTTTTTTTTTTTACACAATTTGCTTATAGCAAAGAATTACTTTACTATAAGCAAGCATTTACCTGAATGAAATCAATTCAATCAGCTTTTTTTTTTTTTTTTTCTTTTTTTTTTTGTGCTTAGCTGTGATTTGGTCACAGCTAATCACATGACATGTGCATGTGATTAGCTGTGACCATTCACAGCTAGGCACTAGTATACAATGGATGGCATCATGAATGAAGCCATCCATTGTATACAACTGTCATGTGACCTGCTGTGATTGGTCACAGCAGGTCACATGGTACCGGCAACGGGAGCCGGTACTCGGATCTGTCATCGGCCGTGTCCGAGGTGCACGGGCGGTGACAGATCGCACTGCTGCGTCGCTCTGCAACCGCGCAAACCGCGCATGTGCGGGAGAACGCCAAATGGCGTGCACCCGGAATACAGGAGCACATTTCAAGCCGCCAAACGGCCATTGGCCGGGCGGCTAATGGTTAATAGCAAAAGTCAAAAATATTGTTTTTTTCTCAAAATTGCCGGGCTTTTTTTGTTGATTGACCCACTATGCTCTTACCAGACGGATTGTTTGTTTATAGCGTTTGAGAGTGTATGAGCATGGCCCGGGCTTGGGTTTTAATGGTGAATTGAGGATTGTTGGTCATTTGACCTTATTACCTATATTGATCTCAATAAAGATGTTTAACTTTATTACACTGCAGTTGGTTCTCTTTTAACTGCCAAGGAGGGTTACTCGTTCTGGGAGGACATCATATGATGTCCTCCCACTCTAACCACAGGTGTGCGGCTCCGGGGGTGCCGCACAGCGGATCACCGATCAACGGAAAGAGCCGAAGACGTCGGCTCGGTCATGTGATCAGCTGTGTCCAATCACAGCTGATCGCATGTAAATAAGGAAGTGCCAGTTATTGGCATGACAGCTGGAGAGGAGAGGAGAGCCAGTAATCGCCATTACTCAGAGGGGACATGTACACTGATCATCAGGGTACTAATGATCAGTGTGCCCTGATGATCAGTGTAGCCCTAACAGTGCCACCTGTCAGTGTCCATCAATGCCAGCTGTCAGTGCTCATCAATGCCACCTGTCAGTGCTCATCAGTGCCACATCAATGCCACATATCAGTATCTACCAGTGCACATCAATGCCACATATCAGTGCCCATATGAGCTGCCTTTCAGTGTCACCTATCAGTGCCAGTCAGTGCCACCTATCAATGCCAGTCAGTGCCACCTATCAGTGCTGCCAATCAGTGTCACCTATCAGTGCCAGTCAGTGCCAGTAAGTGCCACCTATAAGTGCCCGTCAGTGCTGCCTATCAGTGCCACCTAACAGTGCCAGTCAGTGCAACCTAACAGTGCCAGTCAGTGCTGCCTATCAGTGACGCCTATCAGTGTTTTTCTTTACAAAATTTTCAGTTGTTGTTGGTTTGTTTAGCAAAAAATAAAAATCCCAGAGGTGATTAAATACTACCAAAAGAAAGCTCTATCTGTCTCAAAAAAATGATAAACATTTCATATGAGTACAGTTTTGCATGACCGCACAATTGTCATTCAAAGTGTGACAGCGCTGAAAGCTGGAAATTGGCCTGGGCTGGAAGGGGGTATAAGTGCCCTGTAGGCAAGTGGTTTAAACCTCTGTCCTAGGGGATCCATCTGGTCTCCTAACAATTTTTTGTCCTGGGAACCTAGCCTGTTCTCCTCCAATGATCTGACTTATGCTGACATGCCTCCCCCTACATAGCCATTCACTGGGAAGATCAGTGTACTGCTGTTTCTCCTCCTACAGGCCTCTGAGCTCCTTATGCAGCTGAGAACAGAGGGTATGTGATCACTTATAAATAAGGGGAAAAAGGTTTTTGTAATTTTTTTTTATATGTATATATATGTTTTACTGTTCATTTCTATTTTAAAGAGGACCTTCAGTCTACCCCCCCCCCCCATTTTTTTTACATACCCCCCACTTACTGGGTGGTGATGTATGCACAGGCTTGAATACTCACCCAGCCACTGGATTGTGTTGTCCAACTGAGATCCTTCTGTCAACAGACACTGCTCGGTCCCGCGCCATCATCTTATCTGTGAAGTAATTGAGAAGCCTCTTGGCTCTTCTTGGTTCAGTGGACAGGGCCTCAAGATGATGCACCGCTAGGCCTGCCCCCTCCTACTTACTGAATGAAAGACTAAAGGCCTCCTGGGATATGTGACATGCATATCCCAGGAGGCTCAGACAGCACAGCGTGCAGTAGGCTGTTTGTTTAAAAAAAAGGTAAATTAAAAAAACACTGCCCTATTCATGTAGAGGAGGGGTGGAGAGGGGGAGGGGACTTTACACAGAAGGTGAGGGTTCACATATGCTTTATCCATGAGCCAAACTAAAGGGGCTGAAGTGAAGTGAGAGATAGATAGATAGATAGATAGATAGATAGATAGATAGATAGATACACTATATTGTGCACAGTCATGTTGGAGCAGGAAGGGCCATCCCCAAACTGTTCCCACATTTTGGACAATTGAAATTGTCCAAAATGTCTTGGTATGCTGACGCCTTAGGAGTTCCCTTCACTCGAACTAAGGGGCCAAGCCCAACCCCTGAAAAACAACTCCACACCATAATCCCCCCTCCACCAAACTTTACACTTGGCACAATGCAGTAAGGCAAGTATCATTCTCCTGGCAACCGCAAAACCCAGACATGTCCATCAGATTGCCAGATAGAGAAGCATGATTGGTCACTCCAGAGAACACGTCTCCACTGCTCTAGAGTCCAGTGGCGGTGTGCTTTACACCACTGCATCTGATGCTTTGCATTGCACTTGGTGATGTGAGGCTTGGATGCAGCTGCTCAACCATGGAAACCCATTCCATAAAGCTCTCTATGCACTGTTGTGCTAATTTGAAGGCCACACAAAGTTTGGAGATCCTTAGCTATTGACTCTGCAGACAGTTGGTGACTTCTGCGCACTGTGTGCTTCAGCATGTGCTGACCCCACTCTGTCATTTTATGTGGCCTATCACTTCATGGCTGAGTTGCTGTTGTTCCCAGTTGCTTCCACTTTGTTATAATACCACTAACAGTTGACCGTGGAATATTTAGTAGCAAGGAAATTTCATGGACGGAATAATTGCACAAGTGGCAACCTATCACGGTACCATGCTTGAATTCACTGAGCTCCTGAGAGCGACCCATTTTTTCACAAATGTTTGTAGAAGCAGTCTGCATGCCTAGGTGCTTGATTTTATACACCTGTGGCCATGGAGGTGATTGGAACACCTGAATCCAATGATTTGGAGGGGTGTCCCAAAAATTTTTGGCAATATAGTGTAGATATCTAGACAGATAGATAGATAGATAGATAGATAGATAATGTTTTACTTTCTCTTTAAGCACACATCATCACAATTAATTGATGCAAAATATATTCCATTTACACATAAACTAGAAAGATATATCCATAGCAATGAAATCCTTTTCCTCCTATTAGGAATAACAGGTGCGCTGCACTTGTTATCTCTCCTCCCTTTGTGTAAAACAAATGGAAGTAACAGAAAAGCATTCATAGAGACCTTAATAACGCACTCCCTCTACTATACAAAAATCCATCCTCCTTGTTCACATAAAATCAAGAACAATCTGTGCTTCCCACAGAACAAGCTCATAAATTTTACATCCTGTAAAATGCTGCTAAACGAGAAAGTATTTTCTGCAGATTAACACTGACACTATGTGATTCTGCGGATTTCATCATTGTTCATACGTAAACAGAATTCTTAAAGGGAATCAATAGTATTCTTTTTTATATTTTTGAATAAAACATGCATTATGCTTGCTAGCTTGTGCTGTGTGTGCGAGAGCTCGAGAGAGATAAAAAAACAACAGACTACAAGCCCGATCAAACTATTGTACCGTGGTGTTATGAGCGCTACTGCAATGCATGATATTACATTCTGAATGGCACCTTCTGTTGTAGCTCAGTGAATCTTGTGTTAACGCACAATTGCCGTGTGCTGAGCAGCCAAACATTGTCACTTGTAATTTTTTTGGTGCATTTTATTGTGTTAGGCAGCCTGTTCAAATGAATTGACCCTTGCATAAGCACACTGAAGTGTCTGGTCTCAAGTGATCCAAAGAGATGAAACAAATTCTCCATCATAAGCTGTCCCTGTTTGTCTGCAGCCTTCTCTCCTCCACATCCTTCTAAAGCAGGGGTCTCCAAACTTTCTAAACAAAGGGCCAGTTTACTGTCCTTTACGAGGGCTGGACTGAGGCAGTGGGAGTAGAAAAGGTCCCGGCATCGGTGGGAAAAAAAATAATGCTCCATTGTTTGGTGTCAGTGGGAGGAATTCTGCCCCATCATTGATTTCATTGGACCCTATCATTTGTGTCACTGGTTGGAATTGTACCCATCATTGATGTCATTGGACCCTATCAATTGTGTCACTAAGAGGAATTTTTCCCCATCGCTGGTGTCATTGGAAGGAGTTGTGCCCCCTTCATTGGGGTAAGTGCGGGGAATTACACCTAATTGTTGGCATCAGTAGATGAAATAGTGCCCAAGGGCCAGATAAAAGCAAGCAAAGGGCCGCATCTGGCCACCGGTCTGCAGTTTGGAGATCTCTTTTAAAGTACACAGTTTAGTTGGTGTTTTTCAGCTTGCAAAGGGCAGTGATCTGTTTTCACACACTGCACAGCACAGAGCTCAATGTAATCTGAGACCTGAGTAGAGGGAAAGGGCACACCCTCTTCACAGCCTCACTAGGAAACCTGCATATATACAGCTATCAATCGTCTACTGTGTGATGGGGGGAGGTTGTCACCAATGATTGCCTGGTGTCTGGAAAAACCGTCAGAAGTGACTCATGCAGATGAAGGAGAGGGCAGACAGGATACTCACCAAGTGCTAAAGATTGAGGCAAGTGCACACTATATGAGAACATGCTTTGTTTATTTTTCATTTCAGAGGTTTACAACCACTATAAGGCTTTTTAAATGCAGCTATTTCATGTGACTCAGTGTATTTCTATAATATTTTCCTACATGCCCCTGTAGTGCACCACTCAAACTGTGGGGAGAAGAGGGAGAGCCAGATGACTTTGAGGCACTACTGTGGTATGTACTGTAGTGCTGTCAGTCTAATATGGGCAAATTGCTGATAGGAGAAGAGTAATGATGCTGTCTGGATTGCAGAATTTTTTAAGTGTGACAATCGGCAAATTATAAATGATGACTGAGAAATAAGGTTTTTTTTCACTTTAAAGTGGAACTGATCTGTGTCTGAACACCACAAACCAAAAATGCTATTTAATTCATTGTGAAAGTATTACTAAACCCAGAACCCTGCATTCACTATATCTAGTCTCCCACAGTACACACAACATGGAAATGCAATTATTATAATAAATATAAACTGCTAAATACCTCTTCTCATCAGCAGTATATAGCAGTCTTGTGACTTCTATCAGTGTCCAGCAGAGCACTAGTTAATCTTGTAGGAGGAGTTTTAATTCTCCCCTGATTGTCCTTTGAGGCTGCATAATGCCTGACCCTCTGTCTGGACAGTGTTGATTGGCCCTGTGCTGATCACATACACCCTCCCAAAAAAAAAAAAAAAAAAAAAAACCTCTAGCAATACACACCAAACTGAACATATGCAGAGTGACTCCAAGAGGTCTGTACTATCATCATATGGATTGGGGACAGTAGAAGAAGGGGAGGATAAGAGAAGACCGGATCAAACAGCCTTTTTACAGAACGCGGAGGATTAACTCCTTAGGTTCCACAGTGAGTATAACAAGCATGCTATACTGCATATACAGACTGATTTTTACTGTTGTGGGTTTAGTAACACTTAAATATTCAAAGCAAACTCCCCCATCCATCCATGTCTCCATGCTCTATTTTGCTGAGAAATAATTTTGAAAAACACTCCCCGGTATTTCTGGCCATGGCCATCTTGAGTAAGGGCAGATGATTTAGGTAGCATTTACTTCCTGAAACCCATCTGCCCTTAGCTCAGGCATTGGCTAAGCTGAGAACCCTCTTTCCCCTCCTGAAAGCTCCTAGGATGTATGACATAATTTTCCTAGGCATGAAGACCAGGAAATAACTGAAGAAATGTTAACAAAAATGTAAAGCAAGTAAATATGATATACTTTCCTATCTATTACTAATGCTAGCAGCATAAAGAAGAAAAATATTCAATGTTGATTGAACGAGTGAAGTTCCATTT